GCTGCTGTGAATAATTGCTCTCTGGTGCCAGTTAGTGCCGAGCACAGCAGAGCTGCAGCAGTTATCGACACGTTGGCTTCTTGCATGTGAAACCTCGTCATCCTGAATTAGGTGTTAAATGATTCCACACAAACTGACGTAAACAATATTAATCATTCACTTTCATGTGTGGATTTTTTATCATTAATAAAGATGAAATTAAAAGCAAACGTTCATGGCAGGAAACTGAATCTCTGGAGAACTAAATATAGCAGTTAAGTGCTTAACGATGTCTGAGCATCAATATGAGCTTAAATCTGTTAAATCTTTATTTTACTTATTTACTCAGCATGAGCATCTACAGCACTGCCTTAAATCAAATGTGCTTTTCAAAGCACAAAACAGATCGATTGGCCACTGTGTTATTATGTTTTCATAACAGTAACAGTGTAACAGTGAAGGACGCGAGGCGTTTGATCGTACCACTCACCCACTGATGATGCCGTTTGGATAGCCCAAGTGTTCTGCAAAGGATTCCTGCAATGGAGATCGACAAGTCAAAGCAACACAGACAATTAAACTAAGTCCTATAAACGGCAAATATATGACTTCTTGTGAACATGTCACAAGATTAACAGGCAGGTTTTAACCAGCTGATCTATCAGCTCTGTTTCTGTTGGAGACCTGAGAACCAAACCAACATTAACAAACACAAGAACTAAACATCAATGAAAACCTTTGTTTGATCACATTTACACGACTCTATCAGGACTTCAATCATGAGGCTGAAGCAGTTACAGAGAGTCGCCCCAGCATCCGAACAGATGGGCTCAAACGAGCGTCAGCCTCAAAGTCTACCAGCCTGATCAATTTCTGCAAACACTGCAAAGCCATATGTTCTATTACTCCCCGCGAGGGCAAAGACAAGACGCTTAATGCTCTCCTGGCATCTGAGGAATTACTTTTATGTTTAAAGGCAATGTCCCAACAACGCCATGAATCAGCACGGCGTGGAACAAATATGGCCGATGTTGCCGTTAACGGTCATCACAAGCCAACACTTAGGAACTTTGGAAACAACCGATTTGTAGCAAATGTAAAAGGACCAGGTGTTTAATGTTGGTGTTGGAGGTGTGGTGAATCAAAGACTCCACTCTGAAGTGAAACAGCTCACTTGGAACAGCGGTGAACACCAGGGACACAGACGTGATCAATGATCTGCTTCTCACCCTGAGCTCAAACCTAAATATCACAATTCAGTAAATGTGCAACAGTTTGAAATCGACGTAAAATATTGTAGCAAACAATCCCACACTCACTTCAATGTGCTGGAACATGTACGGGTGGTTGCAGATCTTCTTCAGCTGCATGATGGTGTTCATTAAGGTCTTTGCTCCACCTTTGCCCTGCAGAGATGTATTAGAGATGAAATGAGTAAAAAAGACCCAAAACAGTCTGGATATGCTGATGCTACTAATCACCTACAAGACCTTATTATTATTTCTCTGATTGGCTTTCTAACAATTACCTTGTTTTAAACATGAACAAGACAGAGACCATGATCATAGCTCCTCCTGATCTATATTCTAAAATCAGTCAGGTTCTTGCCCCTTTCTGTTCTTCTGCTGAGCCAAATATTCGAAATCTTGGAGTAATATTTGACTCTTCTTTGGGCCTTGACTCACCCGTAAAATCTCTGTCTCGTTCCTGTTTCTTTCATTTAAGGAACATTTCCAAACTGCAACATATGGTCTCCTTAGCTGAACTGGAAAAAATTGTCCATGCATTTGTGTCATTGCGTTTAGATTATTGTCATTCCCTGTTTACCAGCTTGGATAAATCATCTCTTTCTCGCCTCCAAGCTATACAAAACGCAGCAGCCAGACTACTAACTCACTCTAGCAAGCGAGCTCACTCCTATTTTATGTTCTTTACATTGGCTCACAATAGATTCGTTTTAAAATGATTGTTTTAACGTACAGAGCACTAAATGGCCCCAAATTATTTATCCAAGCTTCTCACAAAATACACTACTGCTCGCCGTCTCCGCTCACAGACTCAGAGTTTGTTGGTTGCTCCCAGAACACGTCTGAAGACGAAAGGGGGCGGAGCCTTTCAGTCTGTGGCATCAACGCTGTGGAACAGTCTACCTCTACAACTACGTTTGGTTGACTCTGTGGAATC